ATTTTGATGGCGGATTGTAATCCAGAAAGGATTATGTGTTTATGAAACACATGTGAATGAAATTAAATTATATTCCAGTTTTAAATGTGCTTCTGATTACAGATAGCCTGGGATTACACAAGATCTGTATTTTAAAGAAAACCAGTTCGAAGGGAGAGCATAGTTTGCTTTTTGGGTTAAAAGAATTTCTTAATGTGAAATTCGAATGGTATGACAATTAGATATTAAACTGTACAGAATTTGAAATCTACACGCTAATACACACATAGTCACGCAATGCTGATGTTGTTAACATTAATAATCTGAGAATAAAGTATAACAATAATAATAATTTGCACGGTTTGATGTGATTAGAGCTAATCGATCGTTAGATTTAATTACCATTGGTAGCAAGATTTATTGTAATGTTTTTTTCTGTTACTTTTTTTTTAATGTTACTTACTTGTTCAGATGACAATATACAGTGAAAATTCATATTTGGGTCATATATTCCAAGACATAGGCTAGAATCTGTGATTGCGAAGTACAGTAAATATCCACACCGGTGCGGTGACTGACTGCCACACACTCCTCAAAACATTAGATTCATCCGCGCCGGAGCCGAGCCGGAGCACAACCCACGCAGGGAAGATAATTCCGCACACAGCTGCAATTGCAGGTTTTCAAACAGAGATGGCGACAAAGAGTCAAAACTTACGGACTGCAGCTTTAAACAAAATTACAGAAAAAAATGTAATATTGTGAAATATTATTACAATTTAAAAGAATGTAATAATAATTGTATTACTAATTTAAGTAATAATTAAAATTTTGATTTATTTCAGTGATGCGAAGCTGAATTGTCAACATCATTACTCCAGTCTTTAGTGTCACATGATCCTTCAGAAATCATTCTAATATGCTGATTTATTATCAGTGTTGGAAACAGTTGCAATTTGAAGACCCGTTTCTGGGTCAGAATGAAGGTAGAAAATAACTTTTTAAAAACCTTTACCAACTGTGGTGGGAGGAGCAAACGGCAGACACAGTGGGTGTGGCGTCAGGCCTCGGAGAGGATTTTATTTAACAGAAAATAAACATAAAAAGCCCAAAACGGATAATAAATTGTCCAAAGGGAAAGGAGTGTCCAAAATAATCAGGGGTCTGGTGTTCTCGTTGTGCTGGGGAGTCGTGAAGGAAGGGCAGTGTTCAGAAAGGAGGGGTCCAGGTAAGGGGCGGAGTCCAGCGGCGCTCCTCTCTGTGGTCGGCTTCTTCACAGCGGCTCATGTTCCCTGGCCCACAGCGCTTGAGGGGATTATTGGCCCAGCATCCTAGCCCATCGGCAGCTTCACAGGTGTGTCTCCATTCCGGTCCGGCAGCTCGAATCTCTGGTGGCGCGGGGAGTCCCACGAGGACACCAGCGTGCACGGGGGAAGAGATGGGTCTCTCGAGGAGACCATTTAACAGCGGTAGTGACAAGGCTTCATTTAATTCAGGTGTGCCACATCACACACCACCAACCCTGGTTGTTTCTGTGCCCCTCCTCTCTCACACACCCCACTCCTGTCGGGAACCTGGTGAAGAGCGGTGATTAAGGGGTGTGGTGATGATGATAATTAGGGGGGAAGCAGCCGATCTGTCACACAACATTATAGGTGAACCTCAAGGTACGTAAAAACTTCCTGGAGCCCCCCCAACACTGCACATTTTGCATCTCTCCTTTGTCTGACACACCCATTTCAGGTCTTGGGAGCCTCTACTAATGAGCTGATGATCTGAATCAGGTGTGTTTGATTAAGGAGACGTGGAAAACTTGCAGTGGTGTGGTGGGGTGGGGGGAGGGAGGCTCCAGGAATGTGGTTGGGAACCCCTGCATTAAAATAATAATAAAAAAATCCCCATCATAATCCTTGGTTATGTCAGGACACGTCTCAGCCGACATTTGCTTAACAGGAGATGACATTTCAATATTGCCATGTCACATCTACATCTCTGGCTCTGTCTGCAACGTTGGCACCACCCTCGTGTTCTCCATCTCCATGTGCTCTGTCTGCGCTTCCCTGGAGTTCTTCAGCTCCACCGGTGCCACCCTGGTTATCCTCTGCTCTGCCGGGTCCCCCAAGGTCTCCAGGCCTACCATCCCTACTATCCCCCTTGTCTTCTTCTGCTCCACCACCTTCCTGGACTGTTTGTTTTATATTGCTATTTTCATTTTTGTGGAGCATCTAGAATCCGCTCCTTAAAGGAGGACCTCTGTTAAAATAGTTTTGCATGGTTCCTGTTTCCCCTGTGATTAGTTTGATTTGTTTTCAGCTGTGTCTTCTTCACCCCTGTGAATATAAGCCCTTGTGTTCCCAGTGTTCATTGTCTGTTGTTTATCCACTGTTGGACGTATCATCCATGTTCTCAGTTCTGCTCCCTTGTCTCTTGGTTTTCTCAAGAACTGCAGAGGCTGGGAGACACCAAAAGTCCTGGAGGGCAGGGCGGTGTCACAGCGAAGAGCAGACAAGATGGAGCCCGGGTGTCTGAGGACTGAGGCGGAGCTGGAGCGACTGAGGACTGAGGCGGAGCCAGAGGGAAGGAGGAGCCTGACGTAGCAGAAGGGGTGGAGGGATGAGGTGCAGATGATGGACCGGAAGTCTGTGCTGCAGGCAGAGTGTTGTGATCCTCCTCTATCTCACGGATTGCAAGGGGATCCGCAATGAAACAGGACCCAGTCCAGGTACTCCATGCATGTCCCTCAAGAGTCTCTGAGTGGACATGTTTTTATCCGGGAATTCAAACCTGTCCAGAAAAACATGCAAATGCTGGTGTCATGGACAAGATGTTGAAGCTCCAAAAACCTCCTCCATATCTTAGGGTCTGTTCAAAGAAAACTGGTAAAACTAAACCAGTTTGGGGTTGCCAGTGGGGGACTAGTTCACCACAGTTATCCGGTTAGAGACATGGAGAAGCAGCTTGGAAGTTCTTAAATGCTTTATTTTCACCACATCAAAGTTTCACTAAAGCGTGAGCACATAAGTGCAAACAAGTACAGTGCTGTTTTGTGTGTGGTCTGAAACAAAGCATACAATAACCTAAAATTAGAATAAGCACAATTCAATAAACTTGGTAAATCCATACATTGAAAGGTACCAGAAACACACTTCCATGAACAATCAACATAAAATGTAAATACATGAAGGTTTGGCTTTGAATGCCATTGGTCAGAAAATGAGAAAATCAGAGCTGGTGTTGTGATCTTATCTCCCTTCCTCAATTCCTGATCAAGTTAAGTTAGGTTTATTTGTATAGTGCTTTTCACATACACATCGCTTCAAACCTTTTTTTGAGTGACTTCAGCTCATCTGCAGGACTTCACTAGTTTCTCACTGCGCTGCTGTGGTCTCGGTCCACTCTTCTTCCACTCTCTTCCATAGTTCAGTAACTGTAGGGGGTTTCTCAGCCAGAACTTTCTCGAGATTTTCAGTCGGGTTTAGATCAGGACTCTGGGCCGGCCATTTCATTATTTCAGTGTTTTCAGCTTCAAGGAACTGCTTTATCTGTTTCGCAGTGTGACGGGAGCTTTGTCTTGATTGGGAGATGCTTGCAGGGAAGGAACTGATGAATATTTGCATTCACCTGCCATGTATCTGTGTAAGAGACCCAACTCATGACCATGACACTGCCACCTCCACCTTTCACTGACTTCTTTACACACTCGGGCTTCAGTCTTTCCTCAGTTTGACGCTGAACAAAATGTTTCCCATCAGACCCAAATAAAGTAAACTTGCTCTCATCTCTAACGTGAACTCTGGAGCAGTTCTCCTCTCTCCACACAACATGCTCCTCAGCAAAGATGAGTCTAGCCTTTTGATTCTTTCTTCTGATGAGAGGTTTGGTCACTGCAGAGTTTGATTTCTCTTACACGTGCCGAGACAGATCCTTACCCTGTTCAACGCTGAACTGGCGAGCAATTCCATTTTATTTTATACTGTGCTTCAGAATACAATTAATTTATGAAATATGCTTAAAAAACTCCCCTTCTGCTCCTGTACTTCAAATAGGACTAAGCCGTGACCTTGGCTTGAAGTTGAGGAAATTGTAGGTTGTTCTCTAATTTTGATCTCCACTGTATGTGATAAATAATTACTTATTTTGTGGTGTAAATCTATAATTCTTTTTTAGTGCTTTAGCCCCCCAGTGAGCAAGACAAAGGCGACTGCGACAAGGAAAAAACTCAGTTTGGTGTTAGATAGATAAGCTTTGGGAGAAACCAGCCTACACTGAACAGTTAATTGTTGAGTTATGACAGTCTCTTGGCACAGGTTGTGATTGTGCTCGTCAGACATATAGCACAGCACCAGAACATCCGGCTGGACTGAGGCGGGACCCCGAAGGGTCCGGGACCAGAATCCCACGGGTCAGAAAGAAAACAAAAAACTAACATTAGCGTAGATGCCACTGCTTGATTAATATAGTGAGACTGCTATACAATGTTTGTCATCTCATGAAATGGCTTTGTTGAGGAAGAGGAGCGCTCTCGAGCTGAATCTACTCAGTGACTCTTCCCTTACTCTTCTCTGTGATGATGCTCAGGATTATCACATGCTTTTTCATTTCATAATTCCACAGCAACTGCTCTGCAGTTATTTTCTTTTGCCTGCCATGTATCAGTCCTTGGAATTACTAGATGTAATTTATAGTTACCCATTTACCCAGAGATTTGGGATTGTGATGTTCAACGCAATGACAAAAATATCCTTCCTTTCTTTTTTCAGAAAAATGTGTTTTATTGAGACACACAGTCTGTGTGGAGGGAACGTGTCAGCTGTGTTGTTCAGACGCAGATGTACACAGACTGCATGAGGGCAGCAGGCAGAAGGAGCTCGAGTGTCTCTCTCGTCAGCATCCTCACGACTGACCTCGCCAGAGACATGCAGAGCACAGTATCATTAGGAGAATTGGTTTGGGGCGGCGCATCACGAGCAGAGCGCATCCACCACTGGAGGGATCAAATCTGTGCCATCTGACGCTCAAGGATTTATGGGTTTAGTCCAAATTGCTTTTCCCAGTGTGGAGATTAAGCTGTGTGATGTTAACAGGACAGACGTCCGTGTTCGTTTGGGCTGCAGAGCGTCGAGGATGTGAACACTGAACAGGGATATGAGCACCATGCAGCTGGAGACTGTGTTTGTGTTCATCTGCGTCTGTGTGCTGGGCGCCGCCGGAAGATCGGCCCACAGAAGAGGTCCCAGACAGGAGCCCTACAAGCAAAGCAGGTAATACCTCTGTTGTGAACGTGGCCTGTCGAGTGCAAAGGAATGAAATCAACTCTGATGGGAAACGATGGCTCGCTTTTCTAATAGAGTTGTAGTTTCTCCCATCATGAAACAGCGCATAAAACAAAGAAAGTTGATAAGTCTGGAAATGAGGATGTTTTATTGTGTTTAAATCTGATGATCTTCTGTCTGCCTGCTTGATTAATGCAGGATTTCATGTCAGTGTCTGAAGCTTCACTTTCACTCATGTGAGTCTTTCTCTTCTCATGCGTCCAGAAGGCGTTACAAAGGCATCATCCCTTAAAATTTGGTAATCAGACAGCATATGGTGATTTCCTGGGAGTTTCTTATCAGCGATCCTCGTCTAGAGGCTGTAAACCTTTTAACTTGGTTTGATGGAAAAGGTTATGAAGGTTCAAACAGTTTCTTTTAAAACATCCTCATCTCGTCTCGTTTTACACACACTCCTAAAAAAAACGGTTCCAAAGAGGGGTTTTGCAGTGATGCCATAGATTTTTTTGGTTCCCAAAAAATGCTTCAGTGAACATGAATTTTCTTTGTGTGAAGATCATCTAAAAAACCTTTTTGCACTATAAAGACCCTTTTGTGCAAGGATGTTCATGGACCCCTCAATGCCAATAACGATCCTTTATCTCCCTGCACGGTTTCATGCCAGTAACAGACATCAGTGTGCGGATCCTGTACATGATTGTCATGATGTCAGACGAGTGTTGGAGGATACACACTGCTGGTTTGTTCTGGAGAACAGAGAGGATTTCTGCTGAGCGGATTATTAACCAGCTGCCTGTGAGCGGCTGCAACCAGCAACATCACATCAAACATTACTTCACGCTCACGGCTGTCATCTGCACATAATGATGAGGATGATGTGTTTGATCCGAGCTGAACATCAAAGATGCTTTAAAACAGCTCAGATGTATGTGATGCATGGTCGGGAGTTATGCTGTTCAACACAAGCTGGAAGAGATTGAAAAGTACAAATGTGTGCTGCACTAAAACAAACTCTGAAGAAACAGCCTCGCAAATGTACAAAGATGAAGTGCGACACCTGTGCGTTTGTGTGCTCGTTTGTTCAATATTTAGTCAAATGTGAGCAATACGAGTGCAGTACTCTCAGCTCTGAACACATGCGATCAAGTTTACATCCGCTTCACTGAATCAGTGCAGAAATGCGGGAGAAAGGCCTTTGGATCCTGTTGATTCAACAGAACTTCATTTCATTCTCTTTTTGTTCCTCACAGATTACGCAGAGAAACGACACGAGTGGATGGAGGAGCCCACAAGTCTGGCAGGTACAACATTATTCAATTTGGATCTTTATACGGATCTTACAGTCTTTTGTTAGAATCCTTACAATTACAATAGGGTTTCAGCACTGCGTGCTTGAACCCATAAAAATGTACTGACCCCAAACTTTTGAACGGTAGTGTATATTGTTAGAAAAGATTTATATTTTAAATAAATGCTCTTCTTTTAACTTTTTATTAATCAAAGAATCCTGAAAAAAGGATCACAGTTTGTAATTCTAATAATAAATCAGCATATTAGAATGATTTCTGAAGATCATGTGACACTGAAGACTGGAGTAATGATGCTGGAAATACAGCTGCGCATCACAGAAATACATTACAGTTTAATGTATATTAAAATAGAAAAACGTTATTTTACATCATAATAATATTTCACAATATTACATTTTTCCTGTATTTTTGATCAAATAAATGCAGCCTTGATGAGCAGAAGACACTCCTGTAAAAAACATTAAAAATCGTTCTGATCCCAAACTTTTGACCGGTTGTGTATATCATTTATTTTTTTTTTTGTGGAGAAGAAAAACATATCAAACGTCTAAGATCAGAATCTATAACTGCCATTAGTGTATATGCACTTCTGTTGGATGCATCTTCTGAAGCGTCTCATTGAGTCCCTCGTCCACACAGAGCTTTAGCTGACAGCTTTGTCTAATAGTTCTACTCTTATTGTGATTGTAGCCCAATCTTCAGAAGAAGTCCAGACATGACAAAGTCTCCTATGACCAAATCTGAGCAGCTGTTGAGGATAGATGACCATGACTTTACAATGAGACCAGCATTTGGAGGTGAGCATGAGAATGCTGTTCATGGTTAACACACTGCAGACGTGTATGCAGCTCTGTTTAAAACAACATGCACACATTTATGTATTCGTCAGACTCTTCAAACCCACGGTGACGCTGCATGTGAGAACACCTCGTAATCCAGCTTCCACTGCAGAGAAGAGCACGGGTTTCTTTATGACGGAGGCATCATGACTGACTGCTGATAACATTACAACACTCTTTACATGAGCTCTTCAGCTTTGGCTTGTCGTGTGCGTGGAGGAAAGGAAAACAGAGCCGGGTGACCCACTTGTGTCTGAGCGCTCGTGTCACAGACGATAGTGAGTCTGAGCTAAAATAGGCCACAGATCCTGCAGCGTTAAATCCCGTCTGCTCACAGAGAGAGAGCGCTGCGCTACTGTAATATCTCTGTAATATAAGAGAGGAGTGAGCCAGTGTTGTCTTTGCCTGTGCTCTTACAGGACCGCCGATCCCAGTAGGTGTGGATGTTCAGGTTGAGAGTCTCGACACCATCTCTGAGGCTGACATGGTGAGTGCTTGAGGAATGAGGAGTTTGATTAAGAGCATGCCATTATTATTATTATTATTGTGAATCATTTGAATCGACAGACATATTCACTGAAAAGAATCATCTGCTTCACTACATCGTTATCATGGACATTACTGCTGCCCTGCTGTGTAGCCCACGACATTTAAAATAAATAAATAAATGAAAATTCATTTTATTAACTTGTTTATTCATTAACATTCATTCCAAAAGTAGCCTAAGCCTACAATGACAATAAGAAACAGTAAAACATGAGTTCAATCAAATTGACTGTGAAAGTCGTTTCAACATGTCTGTGCCCAAATTAAGAATTAACGACCATTTCTACAGCCATTGCAAAGAGACAGCAGAGAAAGAGTGAAAAAATAATAATTAATGTTTAAGTTTGATTCAATATTGCTCTTAATGGAAAAACCCCGCACACAACATCAGCAATACTAGTTATGTTGCTTATATTAAACATAGAACTTTTATGAGCAGAACGAATAAGACTGATGTATACCCGCGTTGTAACATAAATAAATAAAAGCTTTTTTTTTTAATATTTCCCTTTACTTTAAACAAATGCTTAGTTTGTGGCTCATTATTATTAATTACAAAAACATAGGCTATACAATAAAATAGTACAATGACAAATTCACTTTTATTAAACTTTGAACTTTTATTAACAAGTGAATAAGGAAAATATGTTTTACCTGCGTTGTAACCCCTAGCTCAACAGCAGTGACAGCAGCGGCAATCCACCTGTCACTCAAGTGGTCACGCCCTTAATTATGCAGAACTTTACGGCTTAATATAATTTAAACGGATGAGTTATAAAAACATTCACCTCCCTCACAGTTGTGCAAAATTAGCTATATAGACCAAAATCATTTTTTGTACCAGGCTGTAAACATTTTTTTCTGCTGTAAAGTTGGGCATTTCTACATGGGGAGTCTATGGGACTTTTATGGTTTCTCATGGTTTATGTAAAAAGGTGAGCTGATGAAGATTTATATTCACTTTATATGCTTTAGACATGTAAAACATCAACATTTCACATCATTATTGGGTGCTTTAATAATATAATTGCATATACATTACATCAGTGTCACTGCATCACTTTAATGCACAGACCAATTGTTTCGCTTCAATATATCATCAGGAGCCACGGGTATTAATTTTGTCTTGCCTGATTTTTTATTTTTTTTGACTCTCAAAGTGCCGGTAGCCGCTGACTTGCATTTTAATAATCGCCAAGGAGCACGGTTTCAGCTAAAATCTTCTTTAATGTTCTACTGATTAAAAAAAGTCACCTACTACATCTTGGATGGCCTGAGGGTGAGTAAATTAACAGCAAATTTAGATTTTTGGGTGAACTATGCCTTTAACCCTGTGGGTTAATCCTGGGTCATCGTGCTTCATGTTTCACACTGCTCATAATTTACCCGGGGTTAATAATTAATCCTGGTATTCATAAAATGATGTTTCACACTGTACGTTCCTAAACCCTGGGTTACAGTTATCATCTGCATATTTGCAGTGTCAGCATCTCTGTTTATATAATGACTAGCATTCTAACAATGTTTCACGAGTTCACCTGCCCATCCAGTCCTGATGGTTAATGGTAAACAAACTTGGCTTGCTCTCATCAACGGAGGCTCGAACCCGAAGCTCGGCTTGAGCTCAGAGTTCAGCCTTCTTATTGCGGTACTACATAGAGGAAGAATAACAGAAATAGAGGAGGAGATGGGGAGGTGGAGAGATGCTGGAAGAATTGTCGCTGAGATCATAATGACGATTGACAGGACTGATTAGATCAGTGGTTCTCAACCTTTTTTTCCACTGGGCCGCACTATGGTCCAAGTGCAAGTCTCGCGGGCCGCACGCATATCATTTACATATTATGTCACCAATACAAACCAACCAGATTTATAATAGCATATTATAGCCTATTATGATATCTAATCGATTACATTCATTGAAATAAATAAATAAATAATTATACTCACCATTAATAAAACACCTGATGCTGTCGGGAGCGGACCAATTTTGTGAAATTCGGCTCGAAAGGAGTAACAGCACAATGAAGTTGCGATTGTAAGTTGCAGTCTGTAAGACGCGCACGGAAGCGTGACTTGACGCGCGACA